GAGAGAGAGAGAGAGAGAGAGAGAGAGAGAGAGAGAGAGAGAGAGTCTCTCTGTGTGAACAAATCATGGCGAGCATCTCTCTTCAAGTAAACAATGGTTCCCCCCTCCTCCCTCTCAGTCTCCTTCTCTCTCTCTCTCTCTCCCTGAGCACGCGGACCTCTCTACTCTCTCTCTCCCTCTCCCTCTCTCTTGCGTGTGCACTTACACAGCGTGCATGTGTGTGTCAAATTGTGTTTTTTCATGTCATGCTTTGCTTCGTATTCTTTTTTTATTCTTTTGAAATTTGAATTAAATAAGGGCGACAGTTTTGAGATGTATCCACAGGTGACCGGCCCGGGTTCAGTCCGGATCATTGTCATTGTTGTTCAACTTAATAATATAATTGTAATTATTACGATAATATCATCTAATTATACGATAATATCATAATTTTCCGGATTATCCAGACGGTCGTTATTATATGTTATCATCACTTTCATCGAGCCTCCGTTATGACAGGTACTATTCACGGTCCAGCCGTCTGGGGGGTATCCTGAGTAAACCCAGGGTCTCTGAACATCATAAATGAGCGGCCATGATTGTCAGATAGGGGTAATTAAGTCACCGATATCAAATACTAGCTAACTTAAAGGTTTTTTGTGACCAAAATTCGATCAGTGACATAGAATTCTTAGCTACGTCCTAACCCAGCTGGCTACAGTAGCTTCATGACCTGAGCAGGCGTTCCCCACCGCATACTTGAGAACCTGCACCCGGTTATGCCGCAGGCCAGGTGAGCAGATCTTCCCACCAGGCTACACTGGCCCGCTCTGCTGCCATACAACCATCAATTACAGGGCGATGTCACTCACCCCAGAAAACTCGCCGGTATTGTTCGGGCCCTTCGCCCCTTGACCATCCTCAGGCCACGGACAGTGATGGCAGCGATTCTTCAGCCTAGTACCTACTCGGTGCAGTTTGGGCATGGAACGTACTGAGCTGGTGGACTGGACTAAGTCTTGTGTTTTCCCTTGATTCATTCCTTTTCATCTACTCCCCGCCGCTCCCATTCACTGTTGTGCAAAGCATGCCCGACAGAATGCAGCATTCTGTCGGACGTTTTACGTCCAAAAGTGACGGGGGGGGGGGAGAGGGGGGRGGGGGTAGTTGGAGCCGTGCCAATTTTGCGCAATTCCCCGTACTGGGGCACCACCTACAGTCTTCCCCTGAACAAAACGCACGTGCGTTGTATATGAATATAGGCTATGGATTTTGGGCACTAACTTCGGAGAAGCCCCCACCCAAACAAAATCCAATGTATGCTGATACCTTTGCATGAATTAAGAAATGGTCGACATAGGCCAAAAAAAGAAACAAACAAAAAACACAGAGCCTGATACCAGGGCTCTCTCTCCACTGCTCACCAAATGTAACGAACGTTAAAAAAGAAAAAAATCTGAATGAATCTTTTGCCAGAAAGTGGACATATGCATCGACACATTTTTTTGTCTATTGTGCATGTGGAGAGCAGTGGAGCAAGGGCCCGACTGTACCAATCGAACAGTCGGCCCCACTACTTGCTGAGAGTTACATTGGAACAGTGATGCAGTCTTGGATCCCCATCTTGGCTCAGCGAGCGAGAGAGAGGGGCAGAGCACTCTGAATATGAGTGTGGCACTGCAGACGGGCACGCGTGCCACACACACACACACACACACACACACACATACACACACACACACAGAGAGAGAGAGAGAGAGAGAGAGAGAGAGAGAGAGAGAGAGAGAGAGAGAGAGCAGGAGCACTGCAGGGCACTCATTTTTGAAAACGAGCGCGACATTTTGTATGTTCTATTCGGATGAACACAGAACACCTGTGTATGCTATTCGAATGGAACATACATGTGTACTATTTGGATTTCAGGGGGCCACTTCAAGAAATCGACTTTTCCAGGGAAAGTTGAATAGTACATACGTCGTGCGTTTTGTTCGGGGGAAGACTGTAGCCTTCGAGAATCGAAATTGCAGCCTACAGGGCCCTATACAGCTGCGGGTTTCGGAGGAGGGGGGGGTTCCACTACCGGTAGTGCTCTCAGGATCGTAATTGATTTGCCTTCTTACTCGTGCTGACTTGAAGAAAGCAGGCTTAGAGCGCACTCACACTAGGCTAAGCACTTTCCTGGATGTATCTGGCAACAAATATGAGCCCCCACGGATGTATCCGACTGCAGAGCTGAGTAGAAGAAGTCCTACGGTTGTCTGAGTAAATACCTTCTTGGAGAGCTGCAGTACTGATGTGCACTAGCACAATTTGGCAGACTTTTTTTTTTTTTTTTTTTTTTTTTTTTTTTTTTTTGGCTTTTTGGAACGACAAGACTTCAACCCTAAAAGTATCCGAGTACAACTACCAGACCAAGGCAATATGATTTACGGCGTTTCTCCGCGCCTCCCGAATCCTGATTGCCAATGGGCCTTTTTTCGAGATCGTCGAGTCACCTCTCCATCCACTCTCGATTCCAAACTTCTGGAGATTCGTTCGAGAGTTGTCCGACGTGAGATTCTGAGGAGAAGACGGGAGTCGGGGCCTCGCTGCACTACTACTGAGTCTCTCGAAATGTGCAAAACGACAGTGAATCTTCCGCTAGAAGATGGAAAGATACCATACCCCACCATGATTTTTGTCTTTTTGTGCATGTCAACAGTTAATGTTACAGTTGTGGAGCGAGGCCTTGAGCCTTGGGCTGCAAGCTCTCTTGATTGTCAAGTGTAGAAAGGTTTGGACAAAACTTGGTGGACCGCCGCCGCGGGTGGAGTGTTCAAAATCATGGAGGGTTGGCCGCACATTGGGACCTTAGCTAGTAGCTGTCGGTTTGTTTTCTCATCATCAATGACATGCGCAATTATGAAGGAAGTCACTGAGCAAAAGCAAGTCTTAGAGAGAAAAGAACTTCAAAAAAGGGTGTGTGGCAAAATTGTCAGCGGGTGGAGCGAGGCACGAGGCTTGTCGAGGGTCGGACATCGGACAACCGTTGATCTCGACAACCGTTGATTCACCAACTCTCGGTTCACTCTTCATGATTCCAATTTTCAGGTGGAATCATGAGTGGTGAAGCAAGGCTCTTAACTTAAACCATCAGCGCACTTGGGCCTGGGCCTGGCGGTGCACTGAGCGTCAGCCAAGCTTTGTTGAACCGCCAGTGCCACACATCTTTTTCTCTTTGGGCTGGTGCGGCCAGCCATTGTGGTCCGGCAGCCCCGAGCCTCCAAAACTTTCGTTGGTCGATGAAAGGAAATCTCCACAAGGCCGGGGCCGTCGACTGGCGGTTCAATTCCTCAAGTGATGGAGTTAGCACCTGTATGTCTGTCGTTAAATCTGAGAATGCGGGGCATGCTGAGCTTTGGACATGTACTGGACCATTGATTCTCCCATCTGTTTGTGTAACTGCCCTGACCATCATCCTTTTGTGGGCCTTCGCTTGCATGTTCTGCATCTGTGGCCTTGTACATCGGGAAGAAGAGAGAGAGAGAGAGAGAGAGAGAGAGAGAGAGAGAGAGAGAGAGAGAGAGATGGTGGTGGTGGGGGAGTAAGGCTGTCAGTGGGGAAATCGTTCTAAGATGTCTTCTGATTGTCTTTATCTTGTGTTCTGTGTTTGGCAATGTGTTCTGAAAGTGAAAAGTGTGTTGCTTGTTCAAGTTTGCCCGTCCTTTTGTGTTCATGCCTCTGTGTGTGTGTGTGTGTGTGTGTGTGTGTGTGTGTGTGTGTGCATGCGTGCGTGCAAGTTTGCCCGTCCGTGTGTTCATGCCTTTGTGTGGGTGTGGGTGTGGGTGTGTCTGTGNGTGTGTGTGTGTGTGTGTGTGTGTGTGTGTGTGTGTATGTGTGTGTGTGTGTGTGTGTGTGTGTGTGTGTGTGTCCGCGTTATTGTTCTTTGTTTCTCAAGGATCCACAAAAATTTTGTAAACTGTATCCGTTTCTCCCCAGATGGGAGCAAGTTCATTAGTGTGAGTTCGGATTACAAGGTGGTGATATTTGACGGCTTGACGGGAGAAAAGCTAACCGAGCTAGCGGATGCTCACTCTGGAAGCGTTTATGCCGTAAGCTGGAGTCCGGATGGAAAGCAGGTAAGAGAGGGGAGTGCAGTTTGCAATTTGCCCCTTGCAAGTGTTGTTCGATTTGCCCGCAGCCGCGGTACCTTGTGCATGTTTTTTTTTTTTTGTGTGTGTGTCAATTATTTTGTTCTCCCATTACCCATGTGTCGAAAGTACCTTTCCTTGGCCACAACATCTTTCGAAGTATGCGGTGGCGGAAAGATAGCTTCCATACATTCATCATGATCAGGGTGCATTGTACTATTCAGTTGTCAACGTCAGCCCAATCAACGCCTCCATCAACAATGTATCCAATGTCCTTCCCCTACTGGTGCTCAGCACCCATGCTACGATCACACGACCCCTAACTAGCCTACTACAGTACAAAGCCGCAACCGGAAGACCTCAACAGCAGATTCTGAACAAATGTAAGTGCAGGTATCGCCATGAAGGCGAGGTTCTCCGCCACGTCACGGTTACGTCCTCACTTCCCCCTCAGCCACCCTTGTCTTGCCATGCGACGCCCTCATACTACACCCGAAGACCACAGTCATACCTCGCTGACGCATATTCCCAGTGCCCGAATGACTTCCCTTTAGCCTCACACTTTTTTCTAATAATATTATTATTATATGGAAAGTGACTGAGAATGACCAGATACATGCTTTTCTTAAGCATCATTACAACACCACTCAAGACGGTCATTGACAACTGGCTACCGGTAGTCGATCCAATGTGTCAGTCAGAGAACTACCGGTAGTACCTGCTTTCTGATCTACATGCGCTTAATATGGATCTCATTTGTGTCGTGTACGCTCAGGTGTTTGGTGCGTTTTGTGCTTAGGAAGCATGCACACGACCCGAAAAACGGCTGGATACATGCTTTTTTTTTTAGAGCATGCATTGGTCCATAACACCACTCAGTCTGGGGCCTGTCAACTGGTTCTAGTAGCCAATCCAATGCATGGGGGGGTAGTGTGGCTAACTGCCTGATTTTACGATCTCCATGGCTGGCATGGCTCAGGTGTTTGGTGCTTTTTGTGCTTAGGAAGCATGCACACGACCCGAAAAATGACTGGATACATGCTTTTTTTTTTAGAGCATGCATTGGTCCATAACACCACTCAGTTTGGGGCCTGTCAACTGGTTCTAGTAGCCAATCCAATGCATTGGGGGGTAGCGTGGCGAAGTACCTGATTTACGAGCTCCATGGCTGGCATGGCATCATGGCGTTCAACGTGCACTTAATATTCGTCTCATTGGTGTTTCTTTATGCGCAGGTGTTGACGGTATCAGGGGATAAGACGGCGAAGATCTGGGACATATCCGCATCAGGGCAAGGTAAGCTCAAGACGACGTTCACTTTTGCTGAGCACCCAGGCATCGAGCACATGCAGGTTGGTTGCCTCTGGCTTGGCAGATACATTATCACTGTGTCGCTTAGCGGGCTCATCAGTTACCTCGATTTGAAGAACTCGAGAGTGCCCTCTCGAGTTCTCAGCGGCCACAGCAAGTTTGTCACTGCGCTCGCAGTCGTGAATAATGAGGGTGCGTCGGAAATATATTCGAGCAGTTACGACGGAATGGTGGTTAGGTGGAGGATTGGCGAGGGATGCCTCGGCCGGCTTCAGGGTGAAGGTCATCGGAACTCGATCACTGGGCTCATCGGCGTCGAAGGGGAGCTTGTGTCCTGTGGGCTGGATGATACGGTGAGGCGGACGCCGTTGCCAGCAGAGCAGTACGACTACGGAGAGGTCTCGCTCGGCGTGCAGCCAACGGGATTCGATGTGGCCGCTAAGAGACCGGAGCTCGTCATCGTTTCCACGGTGAATGGAGTAACAATGATCAGAGGAATGAAGGTGGTCCTGAAGATGCCCCTGTCATTTCAAGCCACAGCTGCCGGGATTTCGCCAGACGGCACGGAGGCGGCTGTTGGCGGCGCCGACGGACACATCCGGATCTATGAAGTGAGAGGCGACGGGTCCGACCTCGTCGAACAGAAGGTGCTTGAGCGGCACAGGGGCCATATCACGATTATCCGCTACTCGAAGGACGGAAAGATGCTTGCTTCCGGCGACCAGAACAGAGAAGTCGTCGTCTGGGATCGTCCCTCACACGAGGTGAGTAGTTGGAATCTCTCCTCTTTTCTTTTTTTTTTCTTTTTCTCTCCCTTTGACCTCCATGGCCCTGAAGAATTAATTAAATTAATATTGTTGTCGCGTCTGATAGGACACAGATCGGATGTCAAACTGATCGAGTTCCGATGGCCTTCATCCTGAAGGCGGCCGAGGCATCCCTCACCGCTTTTTCGCTTCATCTTAGCCAAAAGGCCAAGAAAGTAAAAAAGCCGGGAAAGCGAAAAGGCCGAGAAAGTAGTAGTTGGAATTTGGAAACTTGTGCGACTTAGTGAATATAGATAGATCCCATAACTGTAATTTTGACGCGCGCATTGGAATGTGGAATCAGTGGCAATCTGAACTTTGGTGTGTCGTGTTGTTGTTGTTGTTGTTGTTGTTGTTGTTGTTGTTGTTTTTTCCCCAAACACAAGCCCCCCTCTATTCTGGGGGGCATCAGTCCGGTTACTCATCACCGGCAAGGAAGGTTTTTGTGACAGGCAACAGGGGAGATAGACAGAAAAGAAAGTCGGCCTATCCTTGTGGCTCGAGACGCCTAATACCCTACCGCTTGATTTTTGATATCATGATGGGGTATTCGCCGCCTCTTCAACCGAGCTGCGGTTTGTTTTTCTATCGTGCCTCGCTCCACTATGCAGCAGTGTATTAGATGTTTCTGGATCTGGTAATGGTCCCGATACATTCAAAATCATGATGTTTCAGCCCGAACCTAGGTTATCTGGACGGCACATGTGGAATGTTGAGAGGCGGAGCACGAGGCCCCTTTCTTTGTGGATTTAGAGAGTTCCCCGTTCGGTGTGTTTTCCAAGTGTTTGCCTGTTTGTAATAAGGTTGTTTTTTTCTTATTCCTATGCACTTTGCACCAAGTCTTTCCATTTCATAAATATGGCACCGTGACCAGCTTTTTAATGTTGACCCGCTTGTTAATGTTGACCCGCTTTTTAATGTTGACCCGCTTTTTAATGTTGACCAGCTTTTTAATGTTGACCAGCTTTTTAATGACAAGGATGCTGCTGCTGCTGCTGCCGCTGCCACTGCCGCTGCGGATGCTGATGCTGATGCAATGCTGATGCTGCTGATGATGATGGTGATGATGGTGATGATGATGGTGATGATGATGATGATGGTGATGGTGGTGGTGGTGATGATGATGGTCATGGTGATGGTGATGGTGATGATGATGATGATGACAACCACCACCATCACCATCATCATCATCATCACAACCACCACCATCATGCCACCACCTGCTGATGATGGTGATGATGATGATGGTGGTGATGATGATGATCATGGTGATGGTGGTGATGGTGGTGATGGTGATGGTGATGATGATGATGATGACACGACGCAACAGTCCAATCATGTTGGCAATGGGAAATGAGATGCCGTGTTGTCATTTGAGGTGCGGGGAGAATGACAGGTGGCAGGAGCCTCTTTATTATCTATAAGGCAGGCAAGCTCAGCTTGTAGATTAGTAACATCAATTGTTGATTAATTGTGGGTTACCATAGTGTTTTTTTTTTTTTTCCAATTCTGTGTGATTGCACGGAGATCGTGGTGATCTTCTCTGTATTGTTCCAATTGTAAGAGATGTTATGAATGACAACACAGACTTGATTTTTTTTCTTTTAAATTTCTCTAATACTTTTAATCTGAGTGGCAATGAACTCGATCTGTTGTTCTGCAAGTGGTGGGGAGTGGTCGTGACAGCCGAAGCGAATGATAACACAGCAAGCCAATCAAGTTATTGAGCCCTATGACGAGCGCAGACCTCATTTTTTGTTTGCGAACACATCGCAATGATGTGCTGCACTCTCGGGAAACTGCCAGCGGTATTCCGGAGGTCTGGGAAAAAAAGAAAAAAAGGAAGGCGGCGCTGATGTTAATTAATAGTTAATAACTTGATATCAAGTTGTCATGGCCCTCAGGCTGATGGGCTTGTTGTTGGATTACACATCTTTTAACTTTCTTTAAATCTTTTTCATCAACCAAATGACTGTTGTGTCGGAGATGAGTTGGTGCCAGAGCAGACTCTCCGAAAGCATCAATTCATGAAGTTAATTGTGAATTTGTGACATCCGAAAAGAAAGAAATGATCGTGAGATTGTTCTCGCTGTTTGTTTTTGGGTTGAATGTGCTGCTACTACTACCCTATGATTATATATTATAATATTTTTTAACCCTGTGGTCATGTTGCAATCCTTGTGACATTGTCGATTGCGCCCGCCCGACGAGCAGGTGAAAATCAAGAACATGGTGTATCATAATGCAAGGGTAACCAGTCTCGCTTGGGCGCCGGACAGCATCCGTTTGGCGACCGGTTCCATAGACATGAGCATTATATTGTGGGACACGACAAAATCTGCGATGTCCCGTGTCCAGATCAAGGGTGCCCACCAGGGAGCAGTAACCGCATTGGGATTCAAGGACCCCGTCACACTTGTGTCGGGAGGAGATGACACATGCTTGCGCATTTGGAAACTTCCGCCTGTTGCTTAAGCTCTCTGGTATAATAATTGCGTAATCTTGTACTACCTGCCACTGGGGGGGGGGGAGGGAGAATCAACCGCAAATATGAGAGAGAGAGAGAGAGAGAGAGAGAGAGAGAGAGAGAGAGAACTAGAAGGTAGGTTGGCTGGCTAGGCAGGTTGCAAGCCTGGTCGGTCGTCGTCCGTCTTGTAGAGAGAGCGAGAGGAGGGGTTAAGAAGAAGTCAACCAAGGGAAAGAAAATGGTACGGTGACACGTGGTTCCTCGTTATGTGCAGATGCGTGAGTGGGTCCAAAACCGGCCACACCTCGCAGTGCACACAGATATATGTCGAGTGGGTCGGAATTTAAAGGGTTGCATGCCGCAGGAGTAATGACGGGTGAAGGGAGGAGGAGCAGGAATCGTTCTCCAGGCTTTGGCCCGTTAGCGTACGGGGCCCAACACACATATCCAACACATAGTAATAGAACATCCGGCATCGCTTTGCTTGTCAAGTTGTCATAGGTCTTTCTTGACCAGAGGTATGATCTGGCTTTCTATTTTAGGATAGTTAGTGGCTACCATTTGTTTGCCCTGTGCACGCGATGCATTCCATTTGTAGAAAGTATAATTAATTGACTCCTAGTTATTGTTCAGTGGCTTCAGCCAACTTGGCGCGTTCTCGTATTCTATAATTATGCCAGCCGGTGCTGTGTGAAACAGCAGGCAGGTAGAGGTCCAAAAAAGGTGCCATCTAGTGGCGGCGTCTACTATATCTGTCGAGTGCTTCGAAGACGAAGTAACAAAAGCTAGGCTGTTTGTTTGTTTGTTTGTTTCTTGGGATAGGGAAGGGAAGCAGCACACACACATTTTTTTTCGCTTACGGGAGGTACCATGTTCATTATGGCGAGAGTAACGTTTCATCGTCTTTGCTTTGGATTCTGCACGCGGTGGAGTTGGTCTTTAAGTTTTGTTGTCTTTGCTCTGTGGATTGTCGGTTGTTGCCTTCATCTTTCCATGGTTGGAAAGTTGTACTCTGATCGCCCGGGGGAAAATGCACACAGGTCTGTCGCGGGAAGGACGGGGTTTTGTAAAGATCATCATGATGGCGAAAGCAGAAAATAACTGGGCGGGAAAGAAAAGAAAACGAGTTCGACTTGCACGAGGTGCGTCACGGTACTGCTCCAAGTTCGTAGTCTGTGTGTGTGTGTGTGTGTGTGTGTGTGTGTGTGTGTGTGTGTGGTCGTCGCCTGGGGAACAGTTCAAAGATGGGTGAATTCACTGAATTGCAATCATTGACAAGGAGTTTTAAATTTGTGTAATCGGCACATTGTCAAAGGTCCTGGAGTGCATAGAGGGTATACCTCAACTGGCTCTGTAATGTGGCTAGATAGATCTTAAGTGGAGGGGACTAGCAAATCGTCGATCGTCTTTGTGATCGCCTCTCGATGGGTGCGAGTAACGCAATAGATCCCCGATGATTTGAGAAGAGGAAGACATCGCGAAAGAGGGGCCCGGCTAGCATGATCATTGTCTTGTTAGGTGCATGAGACATACTGAGTATAATTAGTAATTTAGTACACAGTGGGTTAAAATACGACAAGTCTCAAAAGCAGTACAGTGACTGTGGTGAGGAGGAGGGATTTTTCTTTATTTTTTGTTTTTTATTATTATTATTTTCAGAAAACGCCCCCTACAGTGAGGGATAATAGTATCACAACGTATGGACTTGCCGTGTTTGTTCGGATTAACGTATGGACTTGTTGTCTTATTGTGAGTATAGAGCGGAGTTGAAACCGAGGCTGTGACTGTGAAGAGGGGATGGGGGGTGG